GGAGTGGTGGTGCAGTGATTACTACACAGGGAGGAGTGGTGGTGCAGTGGTTAGTACACAGGGAGGGAGTGGTGGTGCAGTGGTTAGTACACAGAGAGGGAGTGGTGGTGCAGTGGTTAGTAAACAAGGGGGAGTGGTGGTGCAGTGATTACTACACAGGGAGGAGTGGTGGTGCAGTGGTTACTACACAGGGAGGGAGTGGTGGTGCAGTGGTTAGTAAACAAGGGGGAGTGGTGGTGCAGTGGTTACTACACAGGGGGGAGTGGTGGTGCAGTGGTTAGTACACAGGGAGGGAGTGGTGGTGCAGTGGTTAGTACACAGGGAGAGAGTGGTGGTGCAGTGGTTAGTACACAGGGGGGAGTGTTGGTGCAGTGGTTAGTACACAGGAGGGAGTGGTGGTGCAGTGGTTACTACGCAGGGAGGGAGTGGTGGTGCAGTGGTTAGTACACAGGGAGTGGTGGTGCAGTGGTTACTACACAGGGGGGAGTGGTGGTGCAGTGGTTAGTACACAGGGAGTGGTGGTGCAGTGGTTAGTACACAGGGAGTGGTGGTGCAGTGGTTACTACACAGGGAGTGGTGGTGCAGTGGTTAGTACACAGGGAGTGGTGGTGCAGTGGTTAGTACACAGGGAGTGGTGGTGCAGTGGTTAGTACACAGGAGGGAGTGGTGGTGCAGTGGTTAGTACACAGGGAGTGGTGGTGCAGTGGTTAGTACACAGGGAGCCCACAAAAAATGCCCCCCCCCCCACCCTTTCAGACTAGCGACAGCTGTGGATCGAGCATGACCACTCATTTGTCGTGTGGGGGGGGGGGGGTGGGCCCCCCACACTCACCCCCCACACTCACCCCCCACACTCACCCCCCACACTCACCCCCCACACTCACCCCCCACACCGCCCCCTCTTGCTCCGCAGCCCCTTTCTAAGACAATAATAATAATAAAACCACGTGGGCCCTGGCATTTGCCGAGGAAATCGCGAAAAGCGGCAGCGCTGATTGCGCGGCGCGACTCGCTCCGCTCGCCTCACCACATCACTCACCACTCACCACTCTCTCTCTCATAATCACTCACCACTCACCACATCACTCACCACACTCTCTCATAATCACACTCACCACTCACCACATCACTCACCACTCACCACATCACTCACCACTCACCACATCACTCACCACACTCTCTCATAATCACACTCATCACTCACCACATCACTCACCACTCACCACATCACTCACCATACTCTCTCATAATCACACACACACACTCACCACTCACCACATCACTAACCACTCACCACATCACTCACCACTCACCACTCACCACATCACTCACCACACTCTCTCATAATCACACACACACTCACCACATCACTCACCACTCACCACATCACTCACCACTCACCACATCACCCACCACTCACCACACTCTCTCATAATCACACTCACCACTCACCACATCACTCACCACTCACCACTCACAACATCACTCACCACACTCTCTCATAATCACACACACACTCACCACATCACTCACCACTCACCACATCACCCACCACTCACCACACTCTCTCATAATCACACTCACCACTCACCACATCACTCACCACTCACCACATCACTCACCACATCACTCACCACACTCTCTCATAATCACACACTCACCACATCACTCACCACAATCTCTCATAATCACACTCACACACTCACCACTCACCACATCACTCACCACAAACTCTCATAATCACACACACACACTCGCCACTCACCACTCACCACATCACTCACCCCAATCTCTCATAATCACACACACACACTCACCACATCACTCACCACATCACTCACCACACTCTCTCATAATCACACACACACACATTCACCACTCACCACATCACTCACCACATCACTCAGCACAATCTCTCATAATCACACACACCACTCACCACTCACCACATCACTCACCACAATCTCTCATAATCACACACACACACACTCACCACTCACCACATCACTCACCACAATCTCTCATAATCACACACACACACTCACCACTCACCACATCACTCACCACACTCTCTCATAATCACACACACACACTCACCACTCATCACATCACTCACCACAATCTCCCATAATCACACACATACACTCACCACTCACCACATCACTCACCACAATCTCTCATAATCACACACACCACTCACCACTCACCACATCACTCACCACACTCTCTCATAATCACACACACAAACTCACCACTCACCACTCACCACATCACTCACCACAATCTCTCAGAATCACACACACTCACCACTCACCACATCACTCACCACACTCTCTCATAATCACACACACAAACACTCACCACTCACCACATCACTCACCACATCACTCACCACAATCTCTCATATCCGCACTCACCACTCACCACATCACTCACCACATCACTCACCACACTCTCTCATAATCACACACACACTCACCACTCACCACATCACTCACCACACTCTCTCATAATCACACACACAAACACTCACCACTCACCACATCACTCACCACACTTTCTCATAATCACACACACTCACCACTCACCACATCACTCACCACAATCTCTCATAATCACACACACTCTCTCACACTCTTACACACAAACACTCACCACTCACCGCCTGCCTCACCACATCACTCACCACACTCTCTCACACTCTAACACACACTCACCACTCACCACTCACCGCCTGCCTCACCACATCACTCACCACACTCTCTCACACTCTTACACCACACCGCACACCACGCCACACATTGCACACCGCACACCACACATCTCTCCACGCACGACGACACACACGAAACCCAACAACCACACCACCGCACTCCACCACACCACACATCACACCACAGCACTTCTCCCCAGCCACATCTCCCTCTAGACCAGCGCTTCGGCAAACCAAAATAACAAGAAGAGCCATTTTAATAGAATTCTGTAGAAAACAACGCAATATTTGAAGAACCGCAGTGCATTGTGGGGTGGTGTTTAATAAATAACGTCACGAAACAGCCGCGTGCAGCCCCAAAGCGACAAGTTGCTGGCTCCTGCCCATGGTAAACTGGACTCCCATGGTAAACTGGACTCCCATGGTACACTGGACTTCCATGGTGAACTGGACTCCCATGGTAAACTGGACTTCATGGTGAATTGGACTTCTATGGTAAACTGGACTCCCATGGTAAACTGGACTTTCATGGTAAACTGGACTTTCATGGTAAACTGGACGTCTATGGTGAACTGGACTTCCATGGTGAACTGGACTTCCATGGTAAACTGGCCTTCTATGGTAAACTGGACTCCCATGGTAAATTGGACTTTCATGGTGAACTGTACTTCCATTGTGAACTTGACTTCTTTGGTAAACTGGACTTCCATGTTGAACTGGGCTTCCATGGTTAACTGGACTTCCATGGTAAACTGGGCTTCCATGGTGCACTGAACTTTCATGGTGAACTGGACTTCCATGGTAAACTGGACTTCCATGGTAAACTGGACTTCCATGGTAAACTGGACTCTCATGGTGAACTGGACTCCCATGGTGAACTGGACTCCCATGGTGAACTGGACTTCCATGGTCAGGGGTGGGCAACCAAAATAACAAGTCGAGGGACATTTTTTTCGAATTTCAAGAGCCGCAACCGTAGACCTTAAAGAGCCACCGCATGCGGCTCCAGAGGCGCGGGTTTCCAACCGCTGCTCTCCCTCCCTCCTCCATCAACGTCTCCTCAAAGATGTCCACATCTCCTACCCACCCCACTCACCCCCATCCCATCTCCCACCAAACCCCATCCCATCTCCCACCCACGCCACTCACCCCCATCCCATCTCCCACCAAACCCCAGCTCGTCACCACCCACCCCCTTCTCACCCCCCCCCCCCCCACCCCCACCTCGATCCTCTCCCAGACTCCACACCATTGCCCCACACTTCATCATCTGGCCCAGCAGCGCGATATTGGGACGGTGACCCCGAACATTTGCCACCTCAGCGGGCTTCCTGGACCCCGCCCCCTCGTTACAGGGGGTTGTGTCGTGGTTAACGAGGCCACGCCGGAGGGAGTGTGTGTGGGGGGGGGGGGGAGTCTCACCACCAGGGTGGAGATAACGGGGGGGGGGGGGGATGTGGGTGGAGTGGGTGGGGGAGGGGTGTTAACTGTCCATCACCAACCCTAGATAACACTATGGAACAATAATTCAATGCATAAAGGAGGGTCCTGTCACGTTGAGATGTATGGCCGTGAATTCCTCGAATTCCATGAGGGATGAGCGTTTGTGCTTCAGTGTGGTGGTGGGGGGGTGACACCCAGCATCTCAGACTCATCAGACTATGTATTTATACTGGAGGAATCCGATGAGCTATAATTCTCTTTTTCACAGATGTCCTCCCAGCCCCACACGACACCTGCCATCCCTAAGGGGGGTCCCGGCGCAAATCACACCATGTGGACCCCCCCCCCCGCCTCCCACCCCATCTCTAACGCCTTCAAACTAAACTGGAAGAAGTGTTGCATCTGACACCGTGACCTCGAAGCGCGAGGCCCCTACCCCGCCCCCAAAGTGTGGGGCCCGGGGCGATCGCACCCGATTCGCCGAGTTACCCTCGGGGGCGGCTCTGCCGTGCCCGAGAGCCGTGCGACATCTGGCCAGGTGCGTCGTGGTCGTGTCCTGGTCCTTCTGAGCGGAAACTACAGCGCCCAAAGAAGGAGCAAAAAAAATAACAAACCCCCATCACGCACACGAGGGAATTAACACCCAAAGTCCCCACACAGATTTGGTTGATACGACCCGCTTGCTGTACTACTTTGCCTTCTTCTGTCCAACCTTGCAAGCCAGCGGGTTTTGGGGTTTCAACAAATCTCTACGCGAGCCACCAACCCTTGTCTCCATCAAAAATCGGCGACTTGAACCGCCGGTAACCCCTGACCTGTCCCCGCTCTCCACACCTGGTGCCAGGGTGGCCCTTCGGCCGCGTCACGTGCAAGATGAGCGGCTTGGTGCAGGGGACGTCCGTCGCGGCATCCGTGTTCACGCTGGTGGCCATCGCCGTCGACAGGTGCCCATCGCCGCCCACCCTCCCCCACCCCCGCACGTACATGGTACATTCCACCCCCCTCCCCCAACCCCAAACCGCTCTGTCACATGCATGGTACATTCCACCAACTCCCCCTCACCCCGTTACATACATGGTACATTCCACCCCCACCCCCTCACCCCGCCACATACATGGTACATTCCACACCCCCCCCCCCCCCGCCGTCACATACATGGTACATTCCATCGACTTCCCCCGCCCCGCCACAAACATGGTAGATTCTACCCCCTCACCCCGCCACATACATGGTACATTCCGCCCCACCCCCTCACCCTGCCACATACATGGTACATTCCGCCCCACCCCCTCACCCCGCCACATACATGGTACATTCCGCCCCACCCCCTCACCCTGCCACATACATGGTACATTCCACACCCCCCCCCCCCCCCGCCACATACATGGTACATTCCGCCCCACCCCCTCACCCTGCCACATACATGGTACATTCTACCAACTCCCCCTCACCCCGTTACATACATGGTACATTCCACCCCCACCCCCTCACCCCGCCACATACATGGTACATTCCACACCCCCCCCCCCCCCCCGCCGTCACATACATGGTACATTCCATCGACTTCCCCCGCCCCGCCACAAACATGGTACATTCGACCCCCTCACCCCGCCACATACATGGTACATTCCGCCCCCACCCCCTCACCCCGCCACATACATGGTACATTCCACCCCCACCCCGTCACCCCGCCGCATGCACGGTACACCCCCCACCTCCATGTACAAACCAATAACTCAGTCACCTCTCCACGCTCTCTTCAGACACGATGCCTTCCTCTTGTGCACTCTCCACTCGTCTCCTCCACATCGCTCTCGCTCACTCACTGCTCCGTTGGCTTCCGCTCCGTCCGTAACCAATCGCCATGGTAACAGATCAAAGTGCCGCGCCCCAAGAGGAATAAGCGGGCACGCGAATTAAAACAGTTTCAGTTTCATTTCATTTATTTTGGTATAGCCCTGTGAGCCATTCGGCTCTTGAATCGGGTGCAACCGCAAAAAACAAAAACATGAACAAGAAAAACATCTTAAAGTGACTTTGTGTGACTGTGCAAACAGAAAATCCAGGGGGAAAAAAAGCAGCAAAATATTCCAGATTTTATTTACAGACACGGGTTTAATTGTTTTTTTCTTAATCTTCGCATGGTTAATGTGATCACACACTCGGCCACGTCACCACTCATCACCACTCACCGCATGACCCTCCCTCCACTGGCTCAACCCCTTCATCTTGGCCCCATCATCCTCACCCTCTGCCCCTCTCGCTCACCCTCACCACAATCCACCATCGCTTCTCTCGCACTCCCACTCCCACCATCACCACCGCCCTCGCCCTACGACTCTTTCACCACGACCACGTGCCCTCCCACCGCCACCACCACCACCACCCCCTCGTACCCCTACCGCCGCAGGTTCCGTTGCATCGTGTACCCCTTCAAGCCGAAGCTGAACATCGCCAAAGCGGTGCTGACCATCGCGCTCATCTGGGTGCTGGCCGTGTGCATCATGTGCCCCTCGGCGGTGATGCTCACCGTGACCGAGAACAGCGAGCACGTGATGGTGTACGGCGAGGGCCTCGTGAACGACACCGCGCCCCTCTACGCCTGCTGGGAGGCGTGGCCCGACGGGCCGATGCACCGCGTCTATACCACGGTGCTGTTCGCCAACATCTACCTGGCGCCGCTCACGCTCATCGTCGTCGTGTACGCGCGCATCGGCGTCAAGCTCTGCGCCTCGTCGGGCTTGCGCGGCGAGAGTCGCTCGGCGGCGCGACCCTGCACAGCCGCCACCTCGGGAGCCGCGCAGTCGACGTCGACGGCAGGGGAAGGAGGAGGTGGAGGAGGAGGTGGAGGAGGAGGAGGTGCGACAGAGAACCGCAGCGTGGTGTCCAAGAAGAAGGTGAAGGTCATCAAGATGCTCATCATCGTGGCGCTGCTCTTCATGCTGTCGTGGCTGCCGCTGTGGACGCTGATGATGCTGCTCGACTACGGGCGGCTGGACGAGGAGCAGGTGCGCTTCGTCAACATCTATCTCTTCCCCTTCGCGCACTGGTTCGCCTTCTTCAACAGCAGCGTCAACCCCATCATCTACGGCTACTTCAACGAGAATTTCCGCCGCGGCTTCCAGGCGGCCTTCAAGCTGCAGCTGTGCTCGGCCCAGATGGACCACCACCAGCACCCCGACGCGTACTCGGAGCGCCTCCGCTGCGGGGCCTCCGCCACCGCCGCGGCCGCCCCCGCCGCCGTGGCCACCGCGGCGGCTGCGGCCGCGGCGGCGGCGGGCCCGGTGCTGCACGCCGGGCACCGCAGGAGCCGCCTGGTGCCGCTGCGCGTGAGCGAGTCGTGCACCCTCGTGTCCGCGGCGGACACGAGGGCGGCGGCGGCGGCGGGGCCGACGACGACAACGCGTCCCACGGCCGAGGCGTGGACGTGCGTGGACGAGTCGGCCTCGCCGCACTGCCTCAACGGGCTGCCGGCGCTCTCAGAGGAGGAGCGGCCGGGCGGAGTAGCGGGCACCTCCAGCTCCAACTCCAACTCGCGCGAGTCCTAGTTGGTGGTGGTTGGTGGTGGTTGGTGGTGGTGGTTGGTGGTGGTGGATGGTGGTGGTGGTGGTTGTTGGTGGTTGGTGGTGGTTGTTGGTGGGTGGTGGTGGTGGTGGTTGGTGGTGGTTGGTGGTGGTGGTTGGTGGTTGGTGGTGGTTGGTGGTGGTGGTGGTTGGTGGTGGTTGGTGGTGGTTGGTGGTTGTTGGTGGTGGTTAGTGGTGGTTGGTGGTTGGTGGCGGTTGGTGGTTGGTGGTGGTTGGTGGTTTTTGGTGGTTGTTGGTGGTTGGTGGTTGTTGGTGGTTGGTGGTTGGTAAGTGGTGGTTGGTGGCGGTTGGTGGTTGGCGGTGGTTAGTGGTGGTTGGTGGTTGGTGGCGGTTGGTGGTTGGTGGTGGTTGGTGGTGGTTGGTGGTTGTTGGTGGTTGGTGGTTGGTGGTTGGTGGTGGTTGGTGGTGGTTGGTGGTGGTGGTTGGTGGTGGTTGGTGGTGGCATCGCTGACAACCCACACCGTTTAGCGCCGTGTTCTTGTACGGGGAAATTGAGTTTACAGCTCCACACGGCGTACAGCCGTTTCAGTACGGGCAACAGCGACAAACATCGTCGAGTTGTTCGGGTGATGGGACTTTGTAGGATGAACGTTCAGATTTATAAGGGCACGGGGTGACCAATAAGATCTGAATTGGTCTGTAATAAGATAGGGCACTGATAAGGGGTTGGCAGGAATATAGTGGGTGGCGGTTGTGGTGGTGGTGGTGGTTGGTGGTGGTTGGTGGTTGGTGGTGGTTGGTGGTTGGTGGTGGTGGTGCATCTGCCAGTAATCTCGAGTCAGTCAACCCCATGGCACCTGGGTGCGTCCCGTGACCTGCCTGCAGCGAGCATTCGACACTTCACGTTGGCCTCACAGTGCAGCTGGCCTGGAGCAGGCGCCGTGATAGCATCACCGTCACTTAGTGGCGCATGGCGGGGATTGGTGGTGGTGGTGCTGGTGGTGGTGGCGGTGTCGACGCAACTCATCAGTAATCACATTCTTTATTTTCCCAGATGTCCTTAACGTTACAACGATACTACAAAAAACACGATAGGCCCACCGCCACCCCCCTCCTGACCCACCCCCGCCCCCCTGCCACTGGCCGACTGATGCCCCGCTTGCAGGTCCATTGCTTCCCGTCACAATTTCAAACAAACGCCGACGAAGCTGCGTCTGCCGGTCCACGGGGGCAAGTTGCTCTTCGCGGAGTGGTCGTAAAGGTCACCGCGGTTGCGGGCAGCACCACGCCTGGCCGTCTTCGTCCACCGCACGGAAATGCCAATCAATCAATTAAGTCTTTATTTCTATAGCACTATATCGTGCAAAGGATGCAATTCAAAGTGCTGTACGGATACAAAAAAAAATACATTATTAAAAGAATAAATCACAAGAAGACTAAAAAAGCAATTTCCATACGAAACAAAATCGCATTATAATAAATTGCTGTCAAAGGCATATTAAAAAAAAAACACTACTGTATAAAAATAATCTTAAGTAATAGCCGGGGATGATAGTGGCACTCCGCACCAGCTGAGTGTCAAGAGTCGACCGAGCGGACGCCCAGCACCGATTCAGGCATTTTCCACCAATGCTGCTGTGAACGCTCACCGCTACACCACCTCTCCGCACAACCACACCACCAACAACCACACCACCAACAACCACACCACCAACAACCACACCACCAACAACCACACCACCAACAACCACACCACCAACAACCACACCACCAACAACCACACCACCAACAACCACACCACCAACAACCACACCACCAGCAACCACACCACCAACAACCACACCACCAACAACCACACCACCAACAACCACACCACCAACAACCACACCAACAACAACCACACCAACAACAACCACACCACCAACAACCACACCACCAACAACCACACCACCAACAACCACACCACCAGCAACCACACCACCAACAACCACACCACCAACAACCACACCACCAACAACCACACCACCAACAACCACACCACCAACAACCACACCAACAACAACCACTCCACCAACAACCACACCACCAACAACCACACCACCAACAACCACACCACCAACAACCACACCAACAACAACCACACCACCAACAACCACACCACCAACAACCACACCACCAACAACCACACCACCAACAACCACACCAACAACAACCACACCACCAACAACCACACCACCAACAACCACACCACCAACAACCATACCACCAACAACCACACCACCAACAACCACACCACCAACAACCACACCAACAACAACCACACCACCAACAACCACACCACCAACAACCACACCACCAACAACCACACAAGCATACTCGCTCCCCGCCGCATACATCCACTCACGCGCGCGTGTACACACCCACACACGCGTGCGCGTGTACAAACAAAGACAAAGATCCCCGTATAGCCTGTAACAGACTGTTGGGGCAAGTGATGTTAGCGAGCACCTATAGAGGCCAGAAGGGCACACGGGGGGTTGGGTGGCCAACACCACGCCCGGCCGCCTTTGTCTCCCCAGTGGCGATGTTTAAACACTGCACCAGGTACTCATTTGAGGCTGAGTCGACCTAGGGGAGGCCCAAGACTGGTTCAGATAATCGTCACTGATTTTGGCCGTGTGCGGGAATCGAACTCGGGTCGCCAAGTTCGTAGCGCTAACAGCTACACCACCGCTCCCCACCGCTACACCACACACACACATACACGTGGGCGTGTACACACTCACACACACGCGTGTGTGTGTGAGTGTGTACACTCACACACACACACGTGTGCGTGTATACACCCACCCACACACACATGTGCGTGTACACACCCACACACACACACACGTGCGTGTACACACACACACACACGTGTGCGTGTACACACCCGCACACACACACACGTGTACACACCCACATACACGTGTGTACGTGTACACGCTGTCCGTGCCCTGTGCTCCTCATTAGGGGAGCGCCTGGCCCTGGGGGAGCAAGCGTGTCTCTGCTCCCCCAGCAATTACCCCCCCCCCCCACTCACAACCCTCCCCCACCTCCCCCTCACAACCCCCACGGCCTCGCTCTCTATCACCCTGGCCACTTGTGATGGGGCCTGACACGAATTAGCTCCAGCCTTGAGCTCATTGGTGGTGGTGGTGGCGATAATGACCCTGGTGGTAGTGTTCGATGACGCTGACGATGATGAAAATAAAGGTGGTGGACGTCCTCTTGGAACGCGTCCTAGAGAATGCGTCCGCCGAGGAGACGGAGCGATGAAATCGGTTCGTGTGCTGGTGTAAGGTCGGATTGTTACATCGCAGGATCGTGACAAGTAACGGCGGCTTGGGGATTCCTTCACCCAGCCGTGGATGATGATGGTGACGACGATGACAATGATGATGATGGTGGTGGTGGTGACAGTGATGATGATGATTGTGGTTGTAGCCACACAAGTCACAATGATGGTGCTGATGATGACCTCCAGTGACAATGGTGATGACGGTGACTGACCAAAATCCAGGCCATCACGGGACACCGCGAAGACGTCAGCACTGATCCAATGCGCTCCCCTCGACCTTCTTTAGAATAATTTTAATAGTTCAAACAAATTTAAAAAAACGTCCTCTGGACTTGCCCACTCGCTCGCGTGCCGCGCCGGATGATGGCCGTGCCCTCGTCGCCTGTGAGCGGCAGGAGGGATGAGAAGCGATCGCCAACTCCTCCTCCACCTCCCCCTTGCCGTGGACTCAGCCCCAAGGGAACACGTGAACTCGACTGCAGACGAGAAGTCGGAATCAGCCACGTGCTCGGTGTGCAGGTGTAACGATTGCAGGTGTGCTCTCTACGTTGTTTGTCCGCTGCTTCTGGAACAGGTGCGCAAAAAAAGCAACATATTTACTCTGTGCATGGTACAAGTTTACGGTTTGGTCGATACAACCGTACAGATGTAGGCTGTGCATGGTTAAGGTGTGCAGTTGTCCGCCGCGGGTGATACAGGTGTACGTTGTGCCTGGTACAGGTGTACGCTATGCATGGTACGGGTGTATGTGCATGGTACGGGTGTGCAGTTGTCCTGGGTAGATGTGCACAGGTATAAGCTGTGCCTGGAACCGGCGTACAGGTATAGGCTGTGCGTGATGCAGCTGTTGCGAGGGGACTAATGATCCCTTCATCGGGCATTTACACCCATTGTGAGTTGAGCTGCCCTCGTATGGTCGGACTCACGATGGGTACGTGGACGATACCATTTGTATTGTGGGGGTCGCGGTTGGCGCGCGGGGGGAGGGGGGGTTGCTTCCAGTTTATATTCCCTCCCGAACACGTGCAACCCGTTCCCTGCCAACGTAACTTTTTACCGGGTGCACTGAGACACGTGCACTCGTTACGAATGGGTGCCACGGGTGGCTAGGAGATGTTAACTCTCTCGCCTGGTTAGGCAGGAGGTCGTGGGTTCGATTCCGACCCTGACGCCTGCTGCTGCTGCTGTATATCCAGGGTGTGCGTGTTCTCTCTTTCTCCCCGTGGATTTTTCTCCGGGTGCTCCGGTTTGTTTTTCCCCTCCACATTTTGAATCGACATCGCGCGTTTCAGAGTATTCGGCGACGACGCATTTCCACGTGATAAGCCACTTCGTTGAGCTGTCATTTGTGGCCAGGTCGCTTCTGAAGAAGAGCTACGTAGCTCAGTGGGCCTTACCTGGTAAATTTGTAAAAAAAAATACATTTAAGTTATTTTTACAATGCGTTGTTCCCGCGTCCGCACTGCCTGATGATTACACATTGACACACACGCGCGCACGCGCGTTCCCGTGTGTGTGTGTGTGCGTTCCGTGTACATAATTGTGTAAAGACACTCCCGGTCAGTGTACTTAGAAAACAACAACAACAACAACGCAGAACACAAACGGATCTTCTCTTGTAGCTACGCGCCAGTAGGGGCCTTGGGGGCCACGTTGTCTCACACGAGTCTGACGTTTAGCTCGC